TAGGTCCACATTTTGAGCCCAAACGTTCCCCCAGCACCGTCGGGTTCCTACACGGAGGAGAGCAGGTTAACTTAAATACATCCAGATGCATCATAAAAAGAAAAACATAAAACTAATTTACTGAATGACTGGTTTGCCTGCAGCTAGTAAACCATTAAATCCATCGCTGCTCTGAGTGATCTGAAACAGAAACAGTCAATTTTACATTTTAACGTTTTCCAACTGATCATTGATCTTGATGGAAAAAAAGTCAAGCAAATTTAGGGGACTGATATCTCTAAGTGTGTGCAATTTGGTACAGCTTGAATTTAAGGGGGCTGTTGGGCCTTAACAGAGGTATGCGCTCCACTGAGAGCCGGTTCTAGTTTATTCATTTAGTTCTAGTCAGGTGAACACACTTTTTATTGTTTAGTTCAGTCCGCCATTGTCAATAAGTGCAGGGTCTGCATTTGCTTTTGCGTGTGTGTGTGTGTGTGTGTGTGTGTGTGTGCGTTATAGCTCATAGTAGACAGATGCTTCAATCTGACAGACTTTGTATATAATATATTTTCTTAATTTCTCCAGTATACCGAGAACAGAACCAATAACACCACAGCTTATCAATACCATTGGCTTAAAATCTGATTATAATAATTTACTGGAGCCCATTAAATACAGAGTTTTGGTCTCCATCACTATACAATACAAAGGAATAAGACATGGCCCTTGGTAGATATATATATATAAACTGACGTAAAAGTAGAACAAGTGGTGGAACAATAACGGTTAAGAGTCAAAGGACCTTTTCTGAAACTGGTGCTAAATAGCAAAGTGTCTTTGCGAGTTTCAGGACTGATGCAGGAGTCCTTTTCCTGTCAAGGGCCTGGATTTGTATGTCTGCTCACTGGTGCAGGGCAGCTATGGGTTTTTTAAAGATTGTTTTGTTGTTGAGTGAACTAAAACAGAACAGTGTCAGAAAAATCAAAGCAAAGAGCTGAAAGACGCTAAAACCATCTGGGGAGGGGAAGTAACCTGCAGGAGGGATATAAACCTCTTGTCGCTCTGAGTGACACTTTTTTTTTTTTTTATACGTCTTTATCCTTCAGTGCAGATTTAATCACAATCCAAAGATTGTCTGGATTATCTACGAGATTAAGTTGATGATTTGTACCCAACATTAGTCACATTACCATATCGAGTAATTCAGGGTTTAGTCAGACTCTGCTGAAGCTTTAAGTACTCCGTTTAAAAATGAATTTATCAGCTTTGTGTGGATTTCTTATTCTGCTGAATGCAGGTGTCAGATCTGATGTAGATTAGTCTTGTGATGAGACCATAAAAATTCAATACAACTTAAACATGTAGGTGACAACAATACATTTCATGGAGAAAGGAAGGGAACCTGGTCACCTGAGAGACATAAGAATATCATACTTTTTATAATTGTACATACTTTTTACTGAAAATGAGGCATGTTGTGGTTTGTTATGTAAAATAAAACACAAATATACTTTTAAAATATGGGTAATGGACAAACCTGGAGTCCAGAGGATGCTCGTTCACATAAATACTGGTTTACCAAGATAAACTTTAAGGCTTGTGTAATTTTTTAATCATCTTATTACTTGTTTTTTTAATTCATGAGATTTTTCAAATGCATGTCATTTAAAAGTTTAGAGAACTACATTTAGTACTTCAACTGCTTTTTTATTTTGTGTATGTGTACCTGGAACAGGAGTCTCTATATGGATAAAATGCCATACTTTATGATGTTTGATAAATTCATAGTCACTCCAGAGGACGTCTTCCTTCTAACTACTGAGAGATTCTTCACCTCATTACACTGGTGGTCAGGAGTGACTTCCAGGGTCTTGCTCTCGGTCTCTGCGAGACTTTTGGTGGTGAAGAGCAAGTGCTCGAGCCGGGCCCGGACATTGGTCCTCATGGTCTCGTAGTCGCCATCCAGCTCGCCCCACTCCTCATCTTCCTTCAGGATGACACAGTGGAGCAGCCCCAGGCACTGCCGCAGAGCCGCATGCAGCAGCTGAACCTTCTCCTCAGTGCTGGGCTCCTCTGAGTCTGGGGACAAGGACACGATGCGCCCGCTGTCTGGGGTGTGGTCCAACAGGAAGGTCTCCCTCTCTTTCTGCAAAGGCAAATCTAACACATGACTTTGAATGCTGGGCAGCAATACCATGCCTTGCTGGCCTAGCGCTCGTGACTTTATTATTTGATATTGATCAATTGCAAAAGTAGCACTGAGTGGGAATTGATTGTGCTGATCAATTGAAAGGTGTTTTTAAAAGGATGCTGAGGCACAGCTGCATGACAGCAGAAAAAAATAACCCCATGCACTCTATCCATTAGGGGCCCCAGGGGAAATGGAGGAGGTGGGGGGGGGGGGGTTGTTTTTGTTTTAGTGTGATTACACTGTGCAGCACAGCATCAACAACACTGTGAGAGCACACTGCTCAATGTAGATTCATTAAAAGCCAGATGTAGTGCAATGGAGGTATTAACAGGTAGCTAGTGACCAACATGTCCGTGTGGAGCCACAACTAACGGAAAGGGGAGTGTGTCGCACCGCCCCTGAACACCACCCTCATAACTCACGTAAAGCTGGAGCAGACGGGTACATTCGTGGTGCAGTAGCCGGGCGAGAGCCGCCGCTCTCCCGGTCCGCGACCGTCCAGCCCCCGAAGCGTCCAGCTCGGTTATCGGCCGCTGCTCTTCCGACTGCTCTGCCATTTGCTCCCCAGCCCCGGTTCCACAGGAGGGTCAGCGGCGGCGGCGGCGAGCGGGACGAAGGCCGAGCGAGGGGAAACAACGTCTCCCAAAGCTCCCCGCCCCCCCGACCCCCAGCGTCGAAAATATCGGGCGGCGAAGCAGCGTTTTTTCGGATGTTTTCTCAGTTTGGCGTCGGCCCCGGAGCTCCTGTCCTCGCTGCCCGGGTCAGTGCGGCGTGTTGGTGTCGGTGCTCATGTCGGCGTGTGCGCAGCCAGAGGGGATTTAATTGGTTCCGCAAGCCACAGGGGCGTGTTTAGGGGGACGCACAGAAGGGGCCTTTTTATTTCCTCCCCCCCCCCAAAAAAAGCGTCACCGTGCGGCCCCCACCCATCCTCCTGCAAATAATACAAACTCTCTACTGGGACAGTTTGTTTTTCCAGTTCCTGACGCACGACAACTAGAAAATAAATATAAAACAGGACATCTGCTGTAAACCTTTTTCTTCATGTGAACAGGGAGGAGAGGATAAAAAGCAGGGGGGGGGGGGGTGCCATGTTTTACAAACTAATTAATTAATCTTGAGGAAAAAATATCAGATTCAGAACAGTCAGTCACTTTAAGACGTTTGTAAGTGTTATTTTGAATGTAGAAGGTTATTTCTTATTTGTATTAATTGAAAATAAGCACGAATATTTGTCTCATAGGGCTTAACGAGGTGCGGCATCCTCTGTCCTTACAGAGCAACTTGCAGGTTAAAGATATCAGTGAATTATTGCGTAGGAAAATGACGATAAAACTTGATTTTCATAATATGTCATTTATATCTGGACGAGCATGACTTCTGGAGTCAGTCTGCAGCACAGGGGAGACTGGACGGATTCAATTCTATTTTGATCAATATGGATCTCAATCCCAGCTTTGAGAGAGAAGAGGTTGCAAATGCTCACACATCAACCAAATTTAAATCTTGACATCTATATAAAATTAACTTTTTTCTCAGCAGTGTGTCAGTGTTTAAAGTATTTATACATAAGACATTGTCTGATAGAGACAAAGCGAACAGCAAGTAATATAATCGATCAATTAAACTAGTATTTTTGGTAAAGTACCATATTCACAAAACTACATGTATATTTTTATTATCCTGCACACTCATGTTCTCCTATTCATGCAATAATAAAGCTGTGATTTGAATTAAGTTTGTTTGTATTTATTGACTTTTATATTTATTTGTGGATTTTCCATGTAAGGACTTCATCCTCAACATTGTTGTGAATATATTTAGATTAAAAATACATAGAGCACATTTCAGCTAATTTTACCTGTCAAGCACACATACGTAGTCAAGCCTAATTATTGGTGTACTTATGTACATATATCATTTTTTAATTGACAAACTAATTTTCAGGTTGTCATTATGGATTACTGATTGTAGACAGATCTACAACACAGTGAAGTGTATAAAATGAAAGGGTCGGATTACTTTCTGAAGCTGTTTGCAGTGTGCCAGTGTGTTAACTGATGAGCCCCAGATCTGTTATAGAAACAGTTTGTCTATTACATGGTTTGTTCAGCAGATGGTGCTAACAAGTTGATTTTTCAGCATTATAATGTCCAGCTAACTGGATTTTCTTGTTACTGCCACTAGCATATTCCCTTAAGTGTTACCTGGTTTGAATTACATGCCAAATATTAAAACACATTGGTTTGCTTTGTGTTCCTCTTCATCTTGTCTTGTCTTTTTCATTTATTCCCCAGTATGTGATTTAAGGGTATTGCAGTTATTAATAAACATGTGTAATTTTAAATAATTCAGTAAAATGATTCTCTTGTTGAAAGGGTTTGCACAAAAAAATACATCAACCCACAGACTTCAGCACATAATTAATTTATTCTTCCATATTTTCTGATAAATTAAGCTGATAATTACTCAGTAGTAGTGGCAGTGTACAGAGGTATATTCTCTTATTTAACATTTCTAACAAAAAATATTTTGCTCATCCACTGAGACAATACGACAGTTAAAAAACAAAACAGAGGGCAACCTGGCATACTGTTGCCTGTATAATCCTGAAATGCAAAGATTTGTAATAACTGATTATACCAGACGACAAATGTTTGGACAAATGAGGACGATGATATAGATATTTTTGACATGTGACAGTAGGAAAAGTATGGAGGTAAATAATAAAATTAACAATAGCTGGCTTTCATTGTAAGAACTGCTTATTGAACCTCATTTGGTTGTAGTTGTTGCTCAGTGGGATTTTTCTTCCCTATGTTTTAAGCAACTAAAGCTGCTGGAGGTAACCTCAAGGACAATCATCAATTCACTGTGTAAATAGATTAAAGTTTAAGATAAAGATATACACATATCTATATACAAACACAGGGTGACAAAGTTAAAGTTTTAAAATTCTAACTAAGTGGTAAAAGAAGCATAAGGAATCTACATTTTTAATCATATTCCCTGACATGAAGTAGTTATGCAACTGTATGTGACTACTAAATTATACTCCATGGAGACAAACTGCGTGTGCCTTCAGTTTCCCTCCATAAAGTTCCTCATTCTTGAGCTGTCTATCTAGATTAAATTATCTCCGTGAATCTCTGCACACTGCAACAGAATCTGTCTCTCTCCTTCCCGCTCCCAGACAACCCCCTCCTCGTCCTTCCTCCTCTCCCTGCAGCTCTCCCAAACCATGTCCCCAACATCCTGGTGGTCCCCGCCCACAATTACCTTTTCCCACAGCTCACCCTCTCCAGGTACTGGTGCAACTTCAGCCGCCTCCCTGCTCCACTGCACGGTCTGCTGGGAGGTCAGGGAGGTGACGGAGCTGAGGGTGAGGAGGGTGCTCTGGGAGCCCACGGTGCTGGCGGGAAGAGCAGGGAGCTGGATGAGCTGCGGGTGGCTGTTGGTGGAGAGGTGAGAAAGAGGAGCAGCGGTGAGGTGCAGCAAGGTAGGGGCCTGCTGCTGGTGTGCTACCTGCACCACATGATGCGTCGGCAGTTGGAGGAACTGGCTTTGAGACACATCTAGCTGAGTCTGTGGAGTAAAGGGGAGCACCACCTGCTGCAGCGGAGTGAGTGTACTTCCCACTGCTGCCTCCTGGCTCTCCTGGCTGAGAGAGGGCTGTTCAGGCTGGGTGAGCACGGGGACGTTCTCCAAGACCGGGGTGGGACATCTTATTACCGTACCCCCATTGGCTGCGACAGCCTCAGCTATGAGCACCTCAGGGTGGCTCTTGGCCTTGTGGGCAACAACAGAGTCCTTTTTTTCAAACTTTTTGCCACAAACAGAGCAAGAAAACTGGTAGGAGGCTTCTGCATCGTGTTTCTTCATGTGCCAGTTTAAGGAGGCCTTCTGACGGCAGGTGAAGCCACAGATCTCACACCTGCCACAAGGTGGAAAGAGAAGAATATATTATAATCCAAGGTCTCATCTATGACCCTTTACCTCCAATTTACTAAAAACTACAGTTATAATACAAACTACAGTGCTTTTAAACTAATATTATTACAAGCGGAATTTACTTGGGCTACAAATTAAAATACTTTCTAATCATTACTTGTACTCTTGGATCAATACTAGTGCTGCTATATAATATAAGGCATTTAGATAACAAAGTTAGTCAAGATGGGGTTAATTCTAGCTATTTTAAATGCTATTGGGTTATTTAATATACAATTTAACAATGTTTTTTACTTTACGTGGTCATGACAGACATAAAATATTCATATGCAAAGGAAGAATTACAATGAATCCCTCTACATACTTTCCACCATGACTCCGAACTAAAACAAAAACAACTACAAATTGTGTAAGATCTTAAAATGTGTATGACAAAGAACAGACAATGTTCTTCATAAAGTCTTAAGTCAGAGATATTTATTGCAGTGCGTCTTCATCAACAAAAAAAACAGATCTGTTATGTCTGGCACTCTCAATAGAAAATCCATCCGCACATTACATCACACATTATTTGTAGTCCCATAAATAGGTACAACTAAGAAAGCTGTTTACACAATGGATTTATAGCTGACGTCGTTATGCAACACTGGATAAACTATGGTTTACTTTGTTAAGTCTGTGGACTAACTAGGATTCAAATATATATCAGTGGGCTCGTGTCAATGGTGTGGTGACAGAAGGAGCTTCAATAGTAAATAATGACATTAGTTGAGTTTGATGTGTTTCTTATCTTGTCTATTGTGTTAATTCTCTCTATTTGTGAGCATTAAAAAAAACCCTCAAAACCCTTAAAACTACCAGAATGCAGTAGCAGAGTGGCTGAAAACGGTTATCTTAAATGAATTCATAATCAGCAAACTATCGCTCCTACTCACTGTATAGGTTTCTCTCCTGTGTGGATCATCCTGTGCACAGCGAGGTTATGGGAGCTCTTGAAGGCACGAGCACAAAACTCACAGATGTAGTCCCGTTGGTCTGAAAGACAAATGATGAGCAGAAATGAACAGAATGCATGAAAAGAAAGAAAGACGAATTATTATATTTTGCAGTCATTTCATTGCTTAGCTTGGTTTGTACAATGAAAGATTGGTTCTGTTATTGAGAAATCCTAAGGGAGAGTATAAACACATGAACTCTCGACATCACCTGTGTGGTGCTTTGCGTGGCGCAACAGCTGCTTCTGCAGACGAAACAAGCGCCCACATGAAGGGTGGTCACACACATACTTCTTTTTTAGCAAGTGCTGGTATTTTATATGGTGCTGAAATAAAAAGTAGACAAATAAAGAATCAGCTCGAAGAAGAAAAAATAACATCCATTCAATCCTTTATAGATTAAAGTAACCATTTAAAGATCAATATCAAATGAAACAAAAAAACATTTCAGAGATTAAAAGTAGCATTATATCCATTTTATTTCACTGGGTAACTAAATATTCTATACTTTAATTCAGTGTAGAATTCCAGTTTTTTTGGAGGGGGGGGATCATGGTTATGGGAGACAGGATGGCAGACCTGTAGGTAGCGTGGGTGTGCTAAGACAGTACCACAGCCTTCCATTTCACAGCGGACATACTGCACTGGGGGCTTTTTCCTGTGAGGACAGGAAAAAAAGGAAACAGTATAATAATCAGGTTCTATTTAATTAACACTAGTTATCAATGGGAATTGACATAAGAAAGATTTGTACCTTCGCTTTGGCTGCTGAGGGGCTTTGCTATCTTTGTGCTGTCGACCGCGTCTGAATGGAAACAAGTTCTGAACTTTAGTACAAATTTTAAATGATGAGGAAAATCACACATTGATTCTTCTTCTAAGGTTTCAATGCAGCATCAACTTCAAAAATTATGCCACACATACTTTCAAATCCAAGCTAAAGACCTACCTGTTTACCATTGCTTTTTATTTATCTTCTTTTAAATCAAATGTATCTGTTAAGTTTGTTTTATTGTTTACCTTTGATTGCCTATTTTCTTGTTTTTCTTGTTTTTACTCTGTGTGATTTTTCTTGATGCTATTATTATTTTTAGCATTTGTTTCTTTTGCTTTTGCACTCTGTAAAGAACTTTGGGTATGAAATGTGCTATATAAATAAATGTGCCTTGCCTTGGTGGAACTGTGTTAAAATGTTATATTTGAGTTGTGACTTATTTCCATAACAAAGGTGGTATTGTATATTAATACATGAAATCTACGATGTTTTCATTCTGATGGATAGAACATGGATGAAGAAGACATCTCAGTGTGAGTCAGGGGAAAAAAACTGTTCTGGGCCTCCACCCAGGAGACAGTTTTTGTTGTTGTTTGTTTGTGTTATTGTTTCTATGACTTTGAGCAGGATGACGCAAAAGTACTTTCCAGTACATTTGGATCCAGGTAGACGGGCGGTTCCATTTATTGTTCTTGTCTTGGCAGAGGTTTGATTGCCATCTCTTCCTGCCATAATCTCAGTGTGAGAAACGGGTTCTGTTACTCCAGGGTGAAACTGGTGAATGTTGGCTCGTATGGTTACGGGTGTTTTGACTAAAAAGTATTTTAAAATATTTAATAACTCACCTGTCACAATCTGGAGTGTACTTCATAATGCACTTATGTGTGCACCACAGTACTTTCCTTTAGATTATTATGAATCCACAATTTACTTACTTTCTGGTTGGCTCTGTGTTATCACCCTCTCCTCCCTTGATTTGCGCAACAATCTCAGTTGATTCTTCCTTTTTGACGTCATTGTCTTCTTCCTCCTCCTCTGACTCCTCTTTTTTGACTTCCTCTTGTAATGTTGCACACTGACTTGATTTCTTCCTAAAGAGTAACAAGGAAAATCAAAAGTGAAACATTTTAACATGGGTGGTCTTCATATAAAGTGACTTTCGTGACTAATACAAATGAGGAAAGGCAGTGAGCTCAGTGTACGTCTTTGTGTCAGGTTGACAGATGAGGTCTTCTCGGTCATCGCTGAATGGAGGGTCCTCACCGAGAGCTGCGTCTGCAATGCTATATGTGGGCATTGACACCATATGGACCACGATAAAATTCACACTGGCCAAAAGAACTGATACCTTAAAAACTTCTGTGATGCTCACCAAGTTGAATAACACTCACTTGTCATTGCTTTCTTCCAAAGCACCTGTGTCCTTCCCTGTAAAACAGAGACACTGAACTTCACTATTGAAATCTTTGAGTATTATTATATTGACATGTACAGTGTGTAAGAAAACCAAAGGAAGTTGTCATTCTCTTACCACATGACGGAGCCTCCATCTCTGCTGCTGATGTGGTGTGCGAGGCTCGGGTTCTCCCTTTGCCCTTTCCAGATTTGGACAGCTTGGGTCCGCGTTTGGAAGCTGAGCGAGCCAGGGTGTCAAAGTGTTAGGGACACATCTAGTACATTTCTGCTTAGAGGTGATGTGCATTTCAGTGAAGTGTGTGTGTGTGTGTGTGTGCACCTTTTATGGCAGTGGATCTCTTTGTGGCAGCTCTGAGAGAAAGAGAGAAAGCAAATAAATGTGCAGTGCAACTAAAAAACAAAGCATGATGCTGGGATTGGCAAAGGGCAAGATGACAAGAGCACAGTGAGGAACACACGTGTATCCAACTCATTTTGCTTTGGTTACAACATCTGGTATTTCTATAGCTTTAAGAACCCCCAGTGATAAAACACACTTCCGACAATTATAGCCACGAGCCTCCTCGCTGTGCAGACACACTGGTGCTGCTTGCAACAGTCGTGTTCAGTAAAGTAGCTGTCGTGTCTTTCTGTGCATGCACTTACTGCATGTCAGGTGAGTGTCGGGAGCGTGATCCCGCACGTCTCGTACGTCCCCGAACCAGACTTGCGGGTTTTTTCGTGGAGCCGCCACGATCCTCAGACCCGGCAGCGGTACACGCTGCCGCTCCCCGGGCTCGCAAAACACGCACGGAACCTCCGACAGGAGCCCGAGAGTCCGGGCGGGTCCCCGCAGGTGCCGCGCGGCCTCTGCGTCCCCTTCTCCCGCCGGGCGACTCAAGCGAGCCCGCGGATGAGTTCGGGGCCTCCTCGGAGTCTCCGGTTGTCTCGACCCCGGGACGAGAGGCCGAAACCTCGTCCTCCTCTGAGTCCATGTCGCTGTTGCTCAACTGTCAAGAGCCTCACGGATGTTTTTTACTCAGTTAGACGTGAAAATATAAAAATGAAGATCCAAGCAGAAGGCCCTGCTCCGGGGGGGGGGGACTAGTGTAGTTCGCTCGCTAAAGATAAATGTCCGACACTGCACGGCTGCTACATTAGATCTGTTATTGTTAAAATGTCACGTTTTATGAAGAATCTCATTTTACAAACATTGAACAGTAATTTCTTCTTAAAGCGACAGCAAACCTCGCGTTTCTTTGGAGGAGACCGGCTCCGCTCAGGATGCGTCTCCTTTAAGAGCCGCGGCACGGAAATGCGATAGGCTTATTTTTGGACCTACGGGTTTCCGTACTATTTACAAACTGGTGATTGTGGGAAATGTAGTTTTTAGCACAACACTGTCTCCAAGCCATATTAAAAACTCGATTATTTTTAGTCCTACAGATAAATGAAATACTACATTAATTTATTACTTTTAAAATGATTTGACACTTATTATATGACACACATCTTATATTCTCATAGCCTGCTTCATAATCCAGAGTGAACATACACTATATCTGGTCAAGTCAAGTCAACTTTATTATCAACAATGCCATATGTGCAGGACATACAGCGAATTGACATTGCGTTTCCCTCTTATCCCCGGTGCAAACAGCATTAAACATGAAATATAAAATATAAGTAAGTAAAAGATATAAACAGACATT